AACTACAGGAGTTGTACATCTCAGGGTCATGTGTAATCTAACAGATATTTAAACATGAAATGTTCAGTTTGAGATGACATATGCCCATTGGACACTTAGGTAGTTTACAAAATGTATGCAGAGTAATAAAACAAAATTAAAAAAAACTCTGATTTGGCATGATGTCCCAAGACATTGCCAGCTGATAGGAGTCCCCTCTAGATAAATGTGTTAAATGAGTTTAGGAAAATATGAGCACCAAGCAACAACCCTAGGTTCTCCCCTGAGAACTAGACCAAAAATTTTATGTGCAACCCTGGCTATAGAAAATGAACTCACCTCATAGTAGCTCTGAACAGCATTGATAAACGCCTCATCAGCCACAATCTGAGTGTCTCCATTAAGGAACGCTTGAAAATGATCTTTGACTGTCTGCAGCTGGAGCTTACTGATCTGAAGGAAACAAACAAGAGACAAAAAAAAAACCTAAGTGAGTAGTTAATAATCAAAATAAAACCATGAACCATGAACCGACCATGAAACTTTAAATACAAAAAATGTATTTTCTTCAAAAATGCAGTATAAATACTGAAAGCTAAATAAATTTGCTGAAATTTTTGAAAAATGTGACAGTGAGTTAGATATCTGAACTTTTAATATTTAAAGAACAGATAGCAACAGGACAAAATAAGTCAAAGGATGGAAAAAGCAAAGGAAGGCATAAGAAAAAAGGTATAATGAGACAAAAAAGAAGCATAAGAAAGGAAGCATAGAAAATGATAAAAAGACTCTAAGGCTGTGTCTTAATTCATGGGTTGCAGCTGACATCGGCTGCATTTGTCGGCCATTTACATCACTGCCCTGCGCCGTAGGCTGTCCCAATTTGTAGGCGCCTACTCATGTGGACAACAAAACCCCGAAAACATAGGCTGCATCTCAGTATCCTAAGCAGCCATTGGTATCCCAGAATTCATTGCGCTATCAGCAAATTAAACAGAAAAACAAAGACGGTGGAGGTCTTATTTTAATTTTACAGTGCCATTTTTCGTTTGTTGTTTTAAGATGGAGTTTGGAAATTCATCACGGACCAAAGAATGTAAGTTAAACAACTTAGCTGAAGAAACTTTTGTTTTAATAAGATGTTAAATACAATGCAGAACAAAAAGCAAGTACTAATTCTTGAGATAAACCCAAATTATTAATGCCTGTTATTTATTTACTTGTAACATTCTTCTATTAAAACKGAATTTTGTGAAGTTATATCTTGGAAAAAAAACCTGAAGCGATGTGATTTAAATCGCATGGTCTTGAAGCAGCGCGTGGTCATACAAACATACGTCTTCTGTAGGGTAAACCATCTCATTTCACAGCTGTTTATACAGCCGATACAAGCAGCCTGTGTCCCACGTAGACTGTGACCAATGTTGGCTGCAACCCATAAATTGAGACACAGTCTAAAAGCGTAAAAGATTAGGACATAAAATAAGAAATAGGATGCATACGAAGACAAAAACAACCTACCGGAAAAAAAATACAAAGGTAAGAAGGACTATAAAGGGCATAAAAATACAAAAAGTTTGATTAAGTAGCCAAAGACATATAAGAAGACTATAAAACAAAAATAATACATTAGGTTGCATGAAGTGCAAAAAAAAACAATTGTAATTATTTCATAAAAAGACATAGTGGACACCT